CGAGAATGCCCACGGCAGCGCGGAGTCGTCGGGCGAGATGCGGGACAGCTCGGCGCTGCCGACGTCCTCGCCGGTGTAGTACATGAGCTGCCTCTCTTCCTGGGGCTCGCCAAGGGCTCCCAGCTTCGCGCGTCGCGGCTGCGCGGAGCGCGACGTGCGAAAAACGTTTCGCGCTCTCGCGCCGCCTCCCATGGGGAGAGGAGGAGGAGGAGTCGGAGCCGAGCCGCGAAGCGCGAAGCGCGAACAGCTTCGCGCCCTCGAGGGCGCCCTTCTTCTTGGGCTCTCGGGCGGGGGGGTGGTGTGGGGGGGGGGCCGCGCGGACGCGCAGGGAAGGCAAGGCTGCCCTGGCAGAGCCGCGCGGAAGCAGTGGGCCTGGACTGCAATCCAGGCTCGGGCACGGACGCGAGCGCAGACCCAGGCGCGGAGTCGTGCAGGGATCAGGTCATGCACGTGGATGCGGCTTTGGACGTGGATTTGGCTCCGGATGCTGATTCGGGCCTTGATTCGAAGCTGGAAAATATCTCGGGGTCCGGCTTGGATTCGGCTTTTTGTTGGCTTCATGTTTGGCGTTGGCTAGGGTTCGGCTTCGGCCTCTGCTCCACAATTCGACGTGGATCCTGGTTCCGACTTTGCCTCGGATGCGGTTTCAGACTTGGATGCGGACTCGTATTCGGAATCGGCTTCGGATTCGCGTTCAAATGTGGGTCTGAATGCGGTATCGACTTCTAGTCGCTGTACGTGCCCCCACCAGCTCGGGATTTCTGCACGCGCGCATCCTCATCGCCCTCACCAGCCCCGTCGTGATGATCATCATTATCATCATCATCATCATCATCATCATCATCATCATCATCATCATCATCATCATCATCATCAGCAGCAGCAGCAGCAGCATCAGCATCACCACCACCAAAACCATCATCACCACCATCATCATCATTATCATCACCATCATCATCATCAGCAGCACCATCACCATCTCCACCACCACCATCACCACCACCACCGCCACCACCACCATCATCATCATCATCATCATCATCATCATCATCATCATCAGCATCATCAGCATCATCGTCAGCATCATCATTGCCATCGTTATCGTCATCATCACCATCATGACCACCATCATGACCATCATCATCATCATCAGCATCATCACCATCAGCATCATCACCGTCGTCACCAACATCGTCAACATATTCATCAACATCATTAGCATCCTCATCAACATCTTCATCATCAACATCAACATCAACAACATCCTCATCGTCATCCTCTTTCATCGACATCATCGTCATCGTCATCGTCGCCGTCATGACCGTGATCATCATCGACATCATCGTCATCGTCGTCACCACCACCACCACCACCGTCGTAACCAATGTCATCGTCGGGTCACGCTCGCCATGATCGCCATCACCACCACCGTCATCATCGCCGTCGCTGGCGGGGTCGTCATCACCCTCATCCCTCGCCCGACCGAGCCGCGGATCTGCCTGCGCAGGGTCCGCGCGCCACGGCAACGTGCGAGATACGCGAGCATGTTCCGACGGGTAGAGACACCGTGTTACCATGTGCACTCAACTCGTGCAGTAAGGATGCGCGATAGGGATGCAATGGCCTTGGACGCCCATTTCGAAGCTTTTCGAGCGGGCCGCGGCCAACGAAAGCGGCCACGGATGGGCCGAGAAGGCAAGGATGCAAGGGTACTCCAGATTTCGTAACAAAGGGAGGGGGGTCTCATTTCGGGGGGGGTCTCTTCCAGGCTATCCTGGAGGGCCTGGGGGGTCTGGGGACAATGTTTTGGAGGGTTCCCCCACGGGGGGAGGTCTAAAATGGCTCGTCTTGGAGGGTCCAGACCCCCTCCCTTTTATCACGAAATCTGGGGTACCCTTGCGCAGGTTGCCCCTCCTTCCTGCGCGGGTGGACTGCAGGGCGCATCAGAACGAAGGAATGGGGCTTCTCTGGCTGCGGCGGGCCGCTGCCGCACACACACACACACACACACACACACACACACACACACACACACACATACACACACACACACACACACACGTTCCGCGGCATATAGGTCCGCGGAGCGGCCCGAAGTCCACGGCCCCCCTCCTCTGAGCCCGCAGCGGCCCTTTGTGACAGCGTCCTGGCGGTACTTACTTGCGCACGCGGCCTGTACAGTGGGGGGCGTTGACCTAAGGAACCCTAAATAAGGAACGGGGCCCCTTTTTTCCATGAGTTGACCTTCGACTTCCGGTCGAAAATGTAAGGAAAACCCGAGGCCAGCTGTGAAACACTTAAGGAACGCGGAGCCCCTCCCCAACCAAAAGGGTTCCTTCTTCAGGGCCCCGACTGTACTTGCGCACGCGGCCTGTAGGCGTGGTGCCAACACGGGGCGGGAGGGAGGGTGGGAGGCCTGCACGGGCAGTGGAATTGCTGACCCCAGGGTCTTCATCGATGATTCCACCCCGCAGATTGCACCACACTGCTTGCGAATCGCAGGTGGTTGCCCGTAGATTGCACCGCATGGCGTGCACCAGATGTGTTGCCCCCGCACGTCTTACATCGAATAGGGCGGCCCCCACCAGTTCCCTCCAAACGAGTATTGGGATCGACCCTATGCAACGCTCATATGCACAAGGGCATGTTAACTTTACTCTGCACGATCCTTCTTGCTGAATTTCGAATAATACTATCCCCGCCAGGCTTCTCTTCGACCGCCCCTTATCCCTTCCAAATAATACTGCACGGCACATTCGCATCAATCTTGCGAGTTCAATGGATGAGTATCCGATGGTCTAATGATGCCCACACGCGTTTTGGCATGTTGAAACCCGTACACACCAAATTGCCATACGGTAGCCACTTGGGTCGTCGATACGCGTAATGTTTGGATGCTTGTGCGCGCGAGCATCCTCGCCAACCTCACCATCGCCATCGTCATGGTCATCCGCAGCGTTACCATTGCAATCGTCAGTGCCAGCATCATCCTCATCACCATTACTCACGTCGTCGTCGTCGTCATCACCATCATCGTCATCATCGTCGTCATCGGCATTGCCGTTGTGGTCGGCCGCGTCACTATCGCCACCGTCACCACTATCGTCATCATCGTCGTCGTCGTCGCCGGTGTCGCCGTCACCATCGCCACTCGCTCGCCCGAGACATGGATCTGCCTGAGCATGGTCTGCGCGCCACTACGCCTGCTGGAATGTGCCAGCAATCTCCCATGGAAAACTGCATCCGCCTCCTCGTGAGTATTGCCGGCAAGTGGCGGGTGGGTGGGCGGGATGTCTGCTCGAGAATGGGAGGTGCTCACGCGCGAATGCCCACCGTTGATTGCACCACATTAGTTGCACCCTATTTAAAAAGCAGCACTTGATACATCCCATGGATTGCGCCACATATGTTGCACCGCATGCACTGCGCCATAGAAAGGTTGCACCAACATTATTGCACATCGAGTGTGCAAGAATCCGCCGTCTGGGGTCCGCGCTGGCGACCATAACATTGTCACAAAGGCCGGTCTAAGAGGCGGCCCAAGAGGCCCCCAAGAGGCCCCCAAGAGGGGGTCCAGGGGGAGCTCGAAGGGGCCCAGGGGGGCCCTCCACCCCAAGACACCGCGATTGTGAACAGACACCCAGAGGCTCCAAGAGGCACCCGGGAAGCGCCCAAGAAGCCTCCAAGAGGTTCCCGAGAGACCTCCAACAGGTCCTCAAGAGGCCTCTGAAGGTATCCCGGGAGGCCGCCAAGAGGTCTCTTGTCCACAACCCAGGCATGGTTCCTGGATGGGCCGAAGGCCACCCTCCGCCGCCCCATTCTGCTTGCAGAGGGGTACCCGGCGTGCTAGGTGTTACGTTACCTCGAAACCTGTTTGAAAAGGTTCACAAGGGGCCTTCGGCCCACCCCATCGGCCACCCAGACAGCAGCGCAGAGATCTCAGCGTGCACAAAAAAGTCGCCCCGAGACGGCCGAGGTGGCCCAAGATGGCCACCGACAGTCCCAACGCACCTCAGACGCCCACGATGCTCTCAAGAGATCCCACGATGGCCCAGACATGGTTCAAAGACTGCCCAATAGGCCCCAGAGAGGCCTTCAAGGTGGCCATGGAGGCCTCCAAGACGACCTCCCGGAAAGCCCGACAAGGCCAACATCGATGGTTGTCCGAAGGTTGTTCAAGGGATTGTGTGTTTGCCTTCTGTCGGCCTTCCGACGGCCGAAGACGGCTCTAGAGGCCCCCCAGATGGCCCCGAGACAGCCCGAGAGGTCTCCAAGGCGGCCCAAAGACGGCCCCCAAGACGGTCTAAGATGGTTCCAAGACGCCCATCATGGCTTCCAAGGCGGCCCTGAAGCGCCCCAAGTCGGCTCAGCGAGGCCCCAAAGGCGGCTCTTTAAGGCGTCAGACTGGCCAGGAATGCCATCAGGCGGCCACAGAGCCTCCAAAGAAGCCTCGAAAGGCGTACAAGAGGCCCAAGGAAGCCCCCAACAGAGGCCCCATGAGCCCCCAAGAGTGCCCCAGGAGGCTCCCCGGAGGCCTCCTCCTCCTCCTTCTCCTCCTGTTTCCTCCCACTCTTCCCCTCATTCGTTCTCCCCCACGTGTTCCCAGACGGGTTTTCACAACGGCTGGGGGGATCACATCGTCCGATAGCTTCGCCGAATTCTGGCCGTAACGTTCTGCCACATAGGCGCTTCCAAAAGGCAGGGGGCGGCGGTGATGAATTATGTGCAAGTAGTGGTCGTCGAGCGCGAGCAGGAACTTCTGCTCATCCTCCTTATCCCCAGCCCTCGGGTCCTTCTTGCTCCAATATATCAAGCTCCCGTCCGCGCGAAGGCCCATGTCTCGCTCGACCCAGTCTTCCAGCTGCATCCTGTCACCTGGGCGGCGGTCAGGAGGCTACGGTGGGTGACGGGGATCGGATACGAGAAGAGGGGAGGGAGAGAGCAGGGGAAGCGGAGGGGAGGGTGGGAAAGGGCGTCCAGCACGCGGCAGCGAGTGGTCTTTCGACGCAGAGCCCTGATGAACGCAGGTGCGGAAAGACGAGCTAACATAATGGTAACCAGTGTGGACCTCACACAGTGAGTGGTTGCACTGTGGAGGTAACAGATTTACGGGGTAAGCTGTGTGGTCTTAGCCCTGGTGTGCAAGCTATGCCGATCAAGCCATGGTATATGTATAAGCTATGCGGTGCGAGCTCCTTTGTAGTGGCTACCGCATGCCGTGTAAGCTGTGCGGTGTGAGCTGCGTGTTGCTTCAGCTGCGCGGCGCGACCTGTGCGGGGCGAGCCGTGCTGCGCCCACCGTGCGGTGTGAGCTGTGCAGCACGGGCCACGCTGCGGAGGCCGTGCTGCCCACCTGGGGGCGCCCACGGGGCGCCCACGAGGCACCCCGCGTGCCGGCGCTGGGCGCGCAGCACGAGGCGGCACCTCCGCGGACCCGCCCCGACCCGAGGCACTGGGCCGGGACGCCTGCGAGGCGCCCCCCACGCCCCACGGGCGGGCACGGTGCGCCCACGGACTGACAACCTCGGCGGACCCACCCACAGGGGGAACAAAGAGGGACACAAGCACAAAACCTCGGAGGTCTGCGCGGATGTCTCGGAGTGGCGCTGGGCCCCCCTGGCGGCGCCGCCCCTGGCGCGCGCCGAGCGCGCGCCAAGGGGGTCCAGCGCCGATCCGAGAAATCCGCGCGGACCTCCGAGTTGTCACATATGCCTGTGTCACTCTTCGCTCCCCTAGCCTTAGGTCGGGCATGTCCCCCCTCCAGGCGGATTCTGGACGAAAAATAACACACATACGGAACAAATGCTCCAAAATAGCAGGATAAATAATGACAACATCGTTCCCAGACTATTTTTCTTCTGTTTCTGAACATTCCCCCTGTAGAGGGACAGGCCCGACTTAACCCTAGCCTTGTGTTGCTCCCATCGTACTTAAGGACCGCATCCCAGAAATGGTCTCGAGCACCTGGAACAGTGTCGAAAGAGTGTCGAAACAGTGCCTCCCAGGGCCCGACACGTGAAAACCCGCGAGTTCTGGGGGTACTCTTCTGGTGCTCGAGAGTCTCTCTGGTGAGCAAAGCTAAAGTAGGCTGGAACATCATAACCCTAGCCTTATGTCGGGCCTGTTCCCCTACAGGGGAATTTCGGGAGCGGCAACTTGGCCGTCCCCCTCCTCCTCCTCCTCCTCCTCCTCCTCCTCCTCCTAATTACCCCTCCTCCTCTTGCTCCTCCTCCTCCTCCCCCTCCTCCTCCTCCTAATTACCCCTCCTCCTCTGCAAGAAGTAAGTTTGGGAGGCGTCCAATAGGGGGGGGTGCAAATCATGACCGGCGGCATGTGCGCGGCCCAGCGGGGGGGCCAGGGGCGCAATGGAATAAGAAGAGGCGCCATGACACCTGGGGAAACATCATGCCCCCCGCCATGATATCCGCCCCCCCCCCTAGTCATCACCCCCCTCTTTGCCGCCCCCGATAAGTCGGGCCTGTCCCCCTACAGGGGGATTTTGGGCGAAAAATAAAAAAATCCCAAAAATACTTCCCAAAGAATCAGACATGGTCAAAAAATAGTCCCCAGGACTATTTGTTTACTATGTTTGAATACTCGTCCTGCAGAGCGACAGGCCCGATTTAATGCAAGCGCTGTGTGGGGACTCATCCGCGCGTGGGGGCAGGTTGGAAGAAGGTAAAACCACATAAGCATAAACTTTTGGCGCCCCGCGCAGATTTCTTGGACTCGCGCTGGACCCCCCTCCCTGGCGCGCGGAGCGCGCCCGGGGGCGCCGCCGGGGGGCCCAGGCCCGGATCCAAGGAATCCGCGCGGAGAGCCAAATGTTGATGCATATCTGGTGTTTTCTTCTCCGGCAGATGGGCCTCCCAAAATTCACATGATGGATGGCATGATTCGGGGACCTTCTGACCCAGGACAAGCCAGACCAGGGTCAGTCAGGCCCTGCAAAGGCCTGCCAGATCCTGCACGATCCTGCACCCAAGCCCGGGCCAATGCGTAGGATCCTGCAGGATCATGCGCCCAAGCCCGGGTCAGTGCGACCCTGGCCCTGCAGGATCCTGCAGGGTCTGGCGCTCTGGCTGACCCCCGCTTGCATGGACCTCCGCCTCCTGAGCCCTGGATGATATCTTCAGGGCCAGGCTCGGAACTGGGAGGGCTCTCGAGCAGCCCCTGCACATTGACGACTTCGACCCCCTCTGCAGACACTGCTCGGGGAATCATCCACGCATGGGGGCAGATGGGCATTCCCCTATTCACATGATAGATGGCACGATGTCGTCAGGGCCAGGCTCGGATACGGAAGGGCTCTCGAGCAGTCCTCCCATATGGACGACTTCCAGCCTCGTCTTGGCCGGGGCCAGGCGGCCAGGCCATCGCGGCCCGGGCGCGAGCGAATACCCGGGCACTTGCCGACAACGCGTCTCGCAACTCCCTGGGAACCCACAGCCTGGAGAAGTCTTGCCCAGGGCCTCGAAGCTGGGGGCCTTCAGACATGCGGCTGCGTCGGCTGCACCAGCCTCGTGCGAGAACCCCGCCCCCTGCGTGCTCTGAGAGAAGAAGGGCGGCATGCCCGAGCGGGTCTCGACCGACCTGGCGCAATATTATGCACTCACTCCTCGCCGACGCTTCCGCCCCTCTCGCCCCCACAGATCGTCCTCCTCGTGCTCCCCCATCCGTCTCCTCATCCACTTCCTTACCCATCGGTCGGAAGAAGTAGGTAGAAACATGAAGTAGGAAGGCGTTGGAAATATATTGGGTTTCCGCACGCCTCCTGAAGAGGAAGGAAGAGGGAAAACCACTCGACTCTTGAAGTAGGAAGGCGCTGAAAGTAGGGAATCCAAAAATACCTACTTTCAACGACCGATGGGTACCCTCCTCATCCCTCTCCTGATCGACCTTGTCTGGGCCTGTCATATCATGCCCCTTAAATCCTTCCTCTGTCGCCGCGCCGTTTGTTTTTGAGCGAGCCCAGGCGGAAGACGCCGACACCGCGGCACACCCACGGCGAACCAGGCGCCCGAGGCGGAGTCCGCCCCGGAGGCCGCGGCGCCCTCCCCAAGGCGAAAGGCCGCGCGTCGGAACAAACGGCGCGCCGACGTCTCACCTCTCACATGTCGGATCCCGCCATCTCCCGTATCCCTTGCCCCCCTCCTCCGCCGACCGTTCATCCGCATCCATGTTCGCAATCTTTCTCCCTCCCCACTGTCACGCTTTCTCCCTCGATATGTCTCGTCCTTTGTCCCCATTATTTGTCCGTCCTCGGGCCGTCATCTCCCTCTTCTTCCCTCGTCCTCTCTGAGTACTTTTCTGCGCCCTCCTTCTCCTGCTTCTTCTCCTCCCTTTTCTTTATGTTTCCTTTCCTAAAACCATCGTCCTCATCCTTCCTCATCTTCAGTCGCTCTCCTCCTGATGCATCGACTCTCCCCCTCCCCCCTCGTCCAGCGTCCTTGTCATCATCTCTCATCAGTCGCCTCCGTCTCGTCTTCTGCTCCATTCGCTTCTCCCGCATCCCCCTCCTAATCAACGGGGTATGCCCCCTGCCGCCCCTAGTGAGAAGGCAGGGCCGTTGCACAACCAATCGCAAGGGATTTTGCCAGAAGCGCGCAAGGCACAGCGTAGGTGTTTTGACGTTGAACCCCCTTATGCGGATGTCCTGTCCTGTCCTGTCCTGTCCTGTCCTGTCCTGTCCTGTCCTGTCCTGGCCTGGCCTGTCCTGTCCTCCTCCTCCTCCGCATCCACGCTCTCCTCCTCTCCGTCCGTCACCTCCCTCTCGAACAATACCATCAATCATCATTTCTTCCGCTACAGGTGCATTCAACATCCGCTTTCCGCCTCAACATGTTGCTTCCGATCCTCCTGGACGCATCCGCCACCAGCGTCGCCTTCAGTCTTCACTTTCCACAGCGGCCCCCGGAAAATACCGTCGCCGCTGCCCAGGGTGTCGTCATCGGCCCCCAGCTTCTGCCTGTGCGGCGGGCGAGGTGTGTCGTCCCCCGTCCCCGTCCTCCTCCTCCTCCTCCTCCTCCTCCTCCTCCTCCTCCTGCCCCCCCTTCCCTTCCTCCTCCTCATCAGCCTCCTCCGGCCCCTCAATCCACCAAGACAAGATCATCCTCCGTGGCCTCTTCTGCTCAGCGTAATCGGCCGCCGCGAAAAACGGTGCGCAGGCCGGCGCCACGCCTGCGGCGGCAGCGACGTGCGCAGTAATCGGCCTCTTCGTGGGCGGCGGCGACGGCGGGGTGCCGCCAAGGGGCCCAGGGACACACACACACACATAAATAAACACAAATCCAAGGATTTCCTATCCTTTCCCATATTTTCTGGGTTGTCGTCTTCCCCCCTACTTCCTATAATTTCCCATGTTTTCATGGGAATTGACGATTAATGGTGTCTGCGTGTGTGGTTTCCCCTCCCGACTCTTGCTCCTGACCCACTCGGAGCTTGGGGGCCTTCTCTGGGGAGCCCAGAAAAAACGTACGACGTACGGGCCCAACCACGCACACGAACACGGCCCCCGAGTCTGCGAGGCCAGCCGCGTGATGCGAACGTTCGCGCGCAATGCGCACTCCCGAAACCAATGTAATTATGTGCACGTCCGTGCCACCCCGCCGCCCCGGCGCTGCCCCCGCCGCGGCCTGGCCCCGCTCGGAACGGGCCCGGTCTCTCCCGTCCCTGCCCTCGCCGGGCTTCCTCCTCCCCCTTCTCTTGCACTGCGGCTCAATTCGCGTCTGCATGCCCAAATTATTCATGCTCTTTCCGCCCGCGCAGTCACTCTGCCGAGCCGCCAGCGCAGAAATGTGTACGCCGTACTTCTTTCGCTCCTGGCTCTCGCTTTCCATCGGCTACACGCAAGAGTGGCCCTGGGTAAAGAGTGAC